GTAGCAGCGCCTTCACCGATGCGACTACAACATCGTCGTCGTCAACAACAACGAAAAAGTTGTCGCCCCCGTGGTCGGGGTGGTTGTCACCAGCAGGGCAACAATCGTCGCCCCCTCACAGTGCAGCAGTCATCGCGTCTTGCAACAGCGTGAGCACCCGTCATGGGTGAGCGAGAGCGGAAGGGAAGGGCGGATGAGGCTCCCAGCTTACCAGAGGGGGCACTTGGCGAGAGAGAGCACACACAAAGGGGATCCATTGAAGAGGAACAATGCAAATGGGATAGAATCGTCGAGGAGATATGGAAGAAAAGACAAAAACAGACGTGCGGCCCACAAGGCACGTGTCGCAGATCGAGACGGTTGATGGGCAAGAGGAAATCCGCACAGAGTCCGTTCCCTCTCTCTTTTTCAAGCTGTTGGATTTCGTTTTCTTCTTTATTCATTATTTTTCATGGAAAAATGGCAGAACTATGACGAAAACCACACACAACACGTACAGATTGCAACGCACGGCACGTGCACACACACACGCACAAGTGTACGGTTTCCACGCAGCCATAAGTTGACCGGATGCGTCACCGTTCTCGCTTGGCGTCTTCGGCGACGCGCACGCAAACGCGGACAAGAAAAGAAAGAAAACACTACAACGCACCGTGCCATTTGCGCCCAAGATAAATTGGACTGCTACTCGGGAAGATGGCGATGACAGTGGGACCTGCCGCGAGAGCGAGTGGCCGAGGGCAGCAAAAGGATATTCATATTTGGGAGTGTCAGTGACTTGGGGATTTGTTTCTAACGTAGTATTGCCATTGTTTATCTTGCTTTGTTTGGTTGGTGAGATTTCGGGAGTGAGTGGTGGTGTGTGGGTGATGCAGCGTGAGGGCAGGTTTGGCTTTTGTTTGTTCAGGTCAAGCCTGAGACATTAGATGAAGAAGATGTTGTCTGCGTCTGCTGTGGGGACTGTGATTTGTTTATTTGAAAGGGTGTGGACTGTGATTTGAACTCTGCTGCCGTGGATTTTTTGGGTTTCTTTTTTGTTTGGATTTTTTGTGAGAAGAGAGATGGAGCCATGGCGATAGTCGGATAGATTTTTCTTTGGTATGAATGGGCTTCATCATGGGCCTATGACTATTAGCCATGCGCCCGCGGGCTCATGGGCCCCTTTGTCGAAGCCACCGTCCCACTGGCGACTGCACAACATGCTAAAAAAACTGACGACTGCACAATAAATGAAGCAGCACGACTAAAAAAAGCAGAAGTCATCCTCAAAAATAAAAAACAGCAGCAGAACCCACTCAAAATAGGCTCAAAATAAATAAATAAATAAGCAGAACCCACTAAAAAAAGCAGCGATGGATGGAAGCAGCAGCAGTTGTGAGCACCACCATATACAGATCATCGAATCGAATCAACGGCTGGCACGTGGTGGTACGCTGTACTGCTGACACCTTGCGAGAAATTCATGCGGTAGGCCTATGGGAATGTTCACCATTAAAAACCCCATCAATAATCATGGTACCTTTCCAACTTATCTGGTATAGTGGTAGCAGCAGAAATAACGAGACCAGATCACTGAGGGAGACGCTTGAAATCTCCATTTTATGATCGTCGATTGAATGGCAATATCCACACTGATGATGAGATGGTACTACTCTTACCAGTGGTAGCACACAAATACAGCATCGATGACAGGTTGACAATTTCCTGAAGCACACAAATACGAGATCAGAGTACTAGGACGAAAATGGGGTTTATGTAATGGACCGAGGACCTATATCTGTATCTTGGATCGGTGACCATGCATGCATGTGGCAGTTAGCACGATCAGCGTACGTACCGGCCACGCACGCGAGCCGAATCAATGCCCGCATGATCGTATCGACGGACGACTAGCAGCTAGCTAGCCGGCCGGTCCTGCCACAGTGCCTTGCGTGTCCAGCGGCACTCACTGGTGCCGATTCAATGCTCGTATCGACGGAGTAGCTCGCCGGCCTTCAAGGCCGAGACGCAGAGCTTGCCAGGCCCGGCCACCAGCCGCTAGACTTGACTTGGGGCCTTCAGTTTCAGAGCAGCTAGGCAGGCAGCAATAACGCGCGGGAGTGAGTGCGGTGGCCTTTTCAGCGGAAGGAACGCAAGTACGTACGTACACGAGTGGCACAGCGTGCATGGACGAACATGCATGGCTCCGCTGCTGTGCTGCTTCTGCTGCTGCTGCAATAACTGCGACAGGCGCATGGATTTCTCTCCCGAACCCACCCCGGCACCGCACATGCCGGACCATGGCGGAGCACTGGAGCTCACAGCCTCCGTCGACATCCATCGACCAATGCACGTCCATGTGTAATCTGTGGTCTCTCGTGGGCGTCCATGTGTAATCACGCGTGTATAGCGCGCCATTTGTGTGGCGAAACGAGCTTGGCTCGCGCGCGCGCGCGCACGGATCTACGAAAAGCTGCAGCGGCGTTTTCCTTCGTCCGTGCCCACGTACTACGCATGGTGCAGCGGTACGTCGTCCTCTGGCTGAATCTCTTGACGGAGGTGAGGTCGGTCGGTCGCATGCATTTACTCCGATCGGGTGCGTACTGCGTATAGGCGGCTACGGCTGTCGCCAACGTGTGATACGGCCTCTCGTTCGTCGTGAATTCGTGGTGGATGCTGTCTGCTACGGATGGAGTAGGGCAAGGCACGTGGTGCCGCTGCTCGCCGGACTGAAAGATTGGTCATGGCCGGCAGAAATCACATATTTGACCTGATGCCCAAATCAAATCACAAACTGACCTGCTTTTGAAAAATTTCACTTTGCTGACCCTTTAGTGTGGCGCCTGACAGCTAGGCGCCGCATCTTATTGTGCAGCGCCATTCCCTTAGGCGTCGCACCTTCTGCCAGCGTGGTAGCCCTGGTCCAGTTGCGGCCCCACAGACAGCAGTGCAGCGCCTAAGGCTAGGGCACCACACTTGTAATGTGCAGCGCCCGTGTCTTAGGTGCTGCACTGTCTGTGTGCCACTTAAGCTGGCCCCGCCCTCTCTCCCCTCCCACCCCCACCCCACCCAAACCCTTAGCCTTGCGCCCCTCCTCTCTTCCCCTCTCCCCCTCTCAAATCCTTATCAAATCTTGCAAATTCGGAGTATTTGACCATGGATTTCGAAGTCAACCCCTCCCTTAAGGTAATCTCCTCCGATCTCCTCGTTTTCATCCATAGGAATTGTCACATTTGGTCAAATCTTGCTAGTTTGGGGAAACCCTAGTTTTTGCTTGGATTTGGAAATTTGTGTTAAATTATGGTATGTTTCTTTGCTAATTTGGTATGGTTAGGCTTTCATAGTATGCTAGGGTTAGGGTTATGTGTGTTTGATGTTGGTGTTAGGGTTATGCTATGATTAGGGTTGTGGTTATTGTTAAGTGGGGGTTAGGGTTATTAATTCATATATATGTTAGGGCATATGTATTTTGTGCAAATATTTTTGTTAAGTACTTATTTGATATATGTGTGTTTTTGATTATTGCAGGGATGGGAAGAACATGTGTTTATGTTCATCATGTGGATAAAGAGGCCTTTTTGAAAGGCAATGTTGAGCCGGACCCGGATGAGCTTGACATGGTGTTTGAGAGTAGTCCTAGCTATGCGGAGCTCTTGGAACAAGTGAGGAATTATTTGAATTGGATGGACCCAAGTGACGTTGTTGAGTTCGAGGGAAGGCATAATGTTGGTTTTGGAATGCATATCCGTTGGAAGACAATGCATGTGAACTCCGAGCAACGTTGGGTTGCATACAAGGAGACGGTTGCCAAATCTCTAGACAAGGCTCTTGAGTTATTTGCCTCCAAGAAGGTTGAGTCTACTTTGAATTTGGACTTGAACCAGAACCCCTCCCCGTTGTTGCTAGCACTCCCCCACCAATGAACCAAGATCAAATGAGTGAACCTCA